AGCCTGCGCGTCCGGAGCCTGTGCTCCGCAACGGGAGAGGCCACAACAGTGAGAGGCCCACGTACCGCAAAAAAAAAAAAAAAAAAAAAAAAATAATATACAATAAGAGTTGAGTGGAAAAGTTGCTGTTTTTAGCAGGGATTTTCTGATTCCTTCCCAAGCTTGTAAAATCATGTAAATTGGGTTGCTTATTAATAAAGCTTGAGAGTCCAAACATTGTCTCTTTCACTAAAGATCTTTGGGAGCAGAAACTGGATATTACCATCTTTGTATCTGTCTGCCTAGCAAAGTGACTATTCAGTAAATGGAATAAATGAACTAACTGAACACCATTTGCATTTGGAGCTACCTCTGTTACTACTATTAGTATTGTACAGTGATAGGTTTCATACAGTGACCAGAAAGGAGGTCTAGTACTGGGAAGTAGGGCCTTGCCTAGTCATTGCGTCTAGTGTTAATGTTTATATATGAAAATTTCTTTTAATATAGATTAAAAGGAATGTGTACTGGAAAGTATTTTCCTTTTGACCTAAGATAAAAATCAGTAGTTTAATACAGTACAATAGTGTGGATGTCTTTTTAATATAATTTTTTCTTAATTCTAGGCATGGAAAATTAATACATAACGAAACATCAAAAATTACTTTTTTTTTTTTTTTCCCAGCCGTGCCGCTTGCGGGATCTCAGTTCCCTGACCAGGGAATGAACCCCGGCCCTGGCAGTGAAAGTGTTGAGTCCTAACCACTGGACTGCCAGGGAATTCGCAAAAATTACTATCTTAGTAATGCTGTAATTTTCAGCTCAGTGAGCACTATTCCATAGGAGGTTCCCCCCCCCCGCCCCCGCATTAACTGGTTTTACATTTTAAATCATTGAGATGCTTTTATTGAATCTTTCTGGGTAAAATTTTTCAACTATAGTTTACTGACTTCTCAATTAAAGGATACTTACTACAATTTAACTTACTTTGGGGTTCAAGATTATCATGTTGGTGTCCATTATTTTTTATCTGAGGACTGTTTAGAATTTTTTTCTTTGATGTTTACTTTTCTTACCCTCTTTTGCTGACTTCTAATGTGTTGCTTCAAATCTGTTTTGTTGTGAGAAAATTTTTATAAATAAATTGTATTTTAGAAGTTATTAAAGCTCTGAAGGAAGATCTCAAGTGTCAGTAAGCAACTTTGGGATTTGATGACCCTAATATTTCTGAGGCATTTTATTACTTACCTCTGCATTCAGGTCTGTGTTGAAGATTGAATTTGTCATTTGGCATGTGTATATCATAACAAAAGTGTAATGTGGTAATGCTGTTAAACTGGTACTAATCATTGACTGTGTTATCACAGAACTATAGAATGTTAGAGCTGGGAAGGACCAGGAGGTCACCTAGTTCACCCTGTAAACCTTGTCATTTTACAGATGTTTTAGAAAGTGAGCTCAGAGGAGTAAAATGTTTTGTCCAAGGTCACAGTCATGCAGGTAACTAATATCAGAGCAGGGACTAGATCCTAGGTTCAACACCCAGTGCTTTCTCAATTACACAGCGCTGTCTCAGGGGAACCTAGTTAAGTTTTATTAGAGGAAAAGTGTTTGGCAGTTGGATTGGGACATCTGTATTTGGGCACATTGGTTTCCTACTTTCATTTTGTAGGAATCAAGTATGAAAACATTGGTTTTGGGAATTACTGCTTATTCCTCCTAGCGGTTAGGCAAATTTGTCTATAAATCTGAGATTGGCTTTGATTTAACAACAACAAACAGAGCATGTTTTCTACTATCTGTTAAGCATTCCCTTTCTTTGTGGTGTCTGTCCCTGTTTGGCATTGTTAATGCCCTCTTGTCCTGAATTCCCTTCTCATAAAACAGTTTGCTCTGTGACACTGCCTTCTCTGTCTCAGTCACTCACCTTTCTTATATTGCCCCAACCACAGTATTAATGATTGCTTAGGCTTAGTTTTACCTCTCCTTTGTCTGTATCCTATGTTCTTATACCCTCTCTTTGATATGGATGAATTCCAAATCTAGATTTCTACACTTCAAGGTATTAAACACCAGGACCACATCTCCCATTCTTTACCTAACATTTCCCATTTTAATGTCCACACCTCATGTCAAAATCAGCATATTTCAAATCTCATTCATCATTTTCTTCCCTGAACCAGCTCCTTCTTCTTTATTTTTGCCAATGATATCACCATGTTTTTCCTCTATTTAATCAGGCTTTAAAACTAAATTATAACCCCACCTCCATGAATAGCGAATCAGTTTGTCACAAAGTCTTTATCTGTTTTTTGGTTTATTGTTTCTCCTGTCTTTTTCTTTGTTGTTACTTGCATTACTTTCATCCTAATTTTGGCGTATTCCAAACCAGTGAATATAACTGCCTTCTTTTTACTGTCCATAACTTATTTTCCTTTCAGTTTATCCCTACATGTTGTTAGCAGATTAATATTCCTATAAAGTACTTTCATCATGCCATTCCCATGTTAGAAGAACAAACTTCAGGGTATTCTTGGGTTGGATTTAAAATCCTCTACTGTTAGTATCTGTGCTATCTTATATTAAGTTTTGCTCATATTGTTCAAGCAGCATTTCAAAATGCCTTTTCTTACCTTCTCTGCCAGAATCAGTGGTTCCCACACTTTTGGAGTACTTGATGTTTAAATTTTTTTTTGCTGTTTACTCAGTCAATAGTATTTCAAAATAAGTCAATTACAATACAAATATTAGTTTAATGGAAAATTTATGTATGTATGTGTATGTTGTTTTTCCATTTTGTTTGCTTGGCCAAATTGCCATATACTGGCTGGTAATGGGTATCACTGATCTAAACAGTATGCATCTACACATATTCAGTTCCTTTACTGTTACCCTTCCCTTTCTTGTCTTTCCTAAACCCCCGGTAGTGTGTCTACCCTAAATTCTCAGACCAGTTATTGTCTGTGCTAGCCATTTGATATGGCATCATGACAATTATAATGTGTCTTCAGTCCTCAGCTAAATTGTAAGCTCCTTGAAGACGAACTGGATTTTGTTCTTTTCTTTTTCCCTTAGTGCCAAGCACTAAAGATAATTTCTGTATTTATAATTTCAGCTGCTGTTCTGTGTATCCATCAGGTACATCTACATTAAGAAAATGGCAGGTCATTGAAACTTTAATCATACCTTGCTACCCTTACTAGTCATAAAATACTGTACTTAATCCTATTTTATACTATTTTTGATAGTTAGCTTGATAGTATTTATGTTTGTATTTTGTATGAATTAAAGAATTTTTGCCCTCATTATTTAAGAAAGGAGAATTGAAATCTGATTCAGCAAGTCTTACCAACATAGAGTGTTTTTCTTGGTTTTTAACTCTATGTTCTTACTCTGTAGAAAACCAGAGATCAAGCTGTATAAGTAGAGTAGTGGGTGTGTGTGTGTGTGTAACTCAGTATTATAATATTGAAGTGATATGGCCTTTAATTATTTTAATAGGTGCTAAAGCATGCTGTATTGATAAACACTATCAGATAGACTATAATATAGTTTATTGAAGGGTTAATTATAATGTACATTATTGTTGTCATGTATATACACACATTCACATAAATATGTCAGCTTATTAGGTTTTTATTTGCTTTGACATTTAGTCCATCCATTCAGCAAATTAATTAATTAATCAATCAGTATTAATCGTATTTTCTTGATTTGTCCCTCCCCTCTCAGGTGCTATTCAAGTATTGGGAAAGTTCAGGATGCCTTTATATCTTACAGGCAGTCTATTGATAAATCAGAAGCAAGTGCAGATACGTGGTGTTCAATAGGGTAAGACTTTGTATAAAAATAATGGTATTATAATTGATACACAAAGATGGTTGCATCACATATAATGTACTTCATGGCTTATATCATGTTATGAAGCTAAGCAGTTCTTCTTAGTCAACTTATTTTTTCTTAATATCTCTTTCCAGCGTGCTATATCAGCAGCAAAATCAGCCTATGGATGCTTTACAGGCCTATATTTGTGCTGTACAGTTGGACCATGGCCATGCTGCAGCCTGGATGGACCTAGGCACACTCTACGAATCCTGCAACCAGCCTCAGGATGCCATTAAATGCTACTTAAATGCAACCAGAAGCAAAAGTTGTAGTAATACCTCTGCACTTGCAGCACGAATTAAGTATTTACAGGTAAAATGTTTAAATGGCAGTTTTTTAAAGGCACATATTTCCCCATGACACTCAGGCAGGAGGAGGGTGGCTGGGAATTTTGTCTAGCTGTGTTTTGATGTCTATAATTTGTTTCCATATTTTGTAAACATACCATAGCTTGTAATATTATTTTACTTTTCATTTTAAGTAAGATATGCAGTATTTTGAAAGATGCTCTTTTGCACATTTACTCTGTTGATGCATATTAATTTACATAATTTTTTTCTATGTACTGTCTGCATTTTTAAGTTGTCATAGCATTTTAGAGAAAAGGACACAAACATTGTCTTTCACTCTTGCTTGGAGTTTCATGAGAAGACAGCTATAAGAACTCTGAAAACAGAGCTCAGCTTTGTTTTAATTCTCACAAAGGTTTATATTCCGGTTTCCCTCATTATACTTAGTATCTTTCTGAAACCCCAAATTAAGAATCTATTTTCTTTTAAAAACAATTAGTTATAGCATTTAGGAAGATTTAGTGGACTTGCTCTTACTCAATTAGGCTTGTGTTAAATTTGCTTTTTACATAATTTTTCCTAGGCTCAGTTGTGTAACCTTCCACAAGGTAGTCTACAGAATAAAACTAAATTACTTCCTAGTATTGAGGAGGCGTGGAGCCTACCAATCCCCGCAGAGCTTACCTCCAGGCAGGGTGCCATGAACACAGCACAGCAGGTGAGAAGTTGGGTTATGTTCTGCAGGTGCCCAGCTTTAAGGGTTCTTTTCAATCTGTAGTGGTCAAGCGTATTTTACTAAGCACAGGAGGCTTTCATTAATGAAAAGCCTCTTGCTTTAATTGTGAAGGGAATCTAGATCAAATTAAAACTCCCTCTGATATGGGAAGAAATTTTGGGGTGCCAGTTTAGAACCTTTGTGCATTTTCATGATTTTGAAGGAGGTTTCTTAAAGTAATGCTGCAGTGGTTTATTTTTTAAAGCAAGTTTTTCAAAGGAAGGTACACATTCCTCCATTGATGATTCATTTGATTTTGATTTTCAATAATTGCCATCAGCGATGTCCACATAGCTTTGAAAAGTATGCAGCTTGTAAAGTTTACAATTTGAAGGAATGAATTAAGAATATATAGAACCCTATTTTTGTCTTCCTTCTGTGATTCTTAGGCATGTAAACCTCATCATCCAAATACTGAACCTGTATTAGGCCTCAGTCAAACACCAATTTCACAGCAATCCTTGCCACTACACATGATTCCTTCTAGTCAAGTAGATGACCTGTCCAGTCCTGCCAAGAGGAAAAGAACATCTAGTCCAACAAAGGTATATATTTTAGAGAAATATAAAAATCCCAGTCAAAAAAGAAACTCCTAACTGCCCTGAACTTGTGCAGTTTGAACATCTCCTGTCCTTTACTTTAAATCTGTGGACATCAAAGAGTGAAAGGTTTGAGTTTTTCTATCCCAAATTCTTAGCATCATATTAAATATAGAAAGTAGGGATAAATTTGCATTCATCAAATCATTTTATTCATCTCCCTGCCGTTAAGATCTCAACACACTTTTCATCATCACCTTCTACTGACATTGAAATAAACTTAATGTTGGACCTAGTGGACAGTGTGGTATTTAGGTTAGCCATTTGGGCCATAGTTTAGGGGTGGGCCTTTTTGGGTGGCTTATTAAAGAATCAATATTTTCTTAATTTATGATTTTCCAAATTTATTATGCATGTAAAAGTATTTTTAAAAGAACTAAATGTCATAACATCTTTCTTATATGTAAATATTCCAATTCAAAGTCATTTGGCCTCCATTAGTCATTATTGTTAACTCTATAGATTTAACCAAATATTCTTTAATTTTTTTTTTTATCAATTTTCCTCAGAATACTTCTGATAATTGGAGTAGTGGCCATGCAGTGTCACATCCTCCAGTACAGCAACAAGGTCATTCATGGTGTTTGACACCACAGAAATTACAGGTATGTAAGATATGCTTTTGACAGATTGTTTTTCCTATTAAAGAAGAGTAGAGGTACTAAGTTTTAAGTTTTTTAACTATTAATTCTTAAAGTTGAATGGCAGTAAACTCAATAAATAGGCGCATAAGTAAATGAACCCACATTTACCAGAGTAATAGAGATAATTCATTCTTTTTTTCCCCCTCCCCCCCCCCCCGCCCCCCCACCAAATATATTCTCATGGTTCAAACTGCCTCAGTATGAGTTTAGGGTATATAAAGTAAATTCTCCGTCTAATTCCTGCCCCTACCCACTCAGTTCCCCTCCTAATAGACAGCCAGTGTTATTAGTTTCTTATCTGTCTTTCCAGAGATATATCATGCATGTACAAGCAAATACGCATCCTCTTTCTCTACGCATCCTCTTTCTCTCATATATTACTATTTTTCTCCTTTTTTTATACAAATGATAGAATGCTATATATACTGTTAATAATATATTTTACAGATCTTTCCATGTCAGTGTATAAAGAGCTTCCTTATTCTTTTATGACTACATCATGTTTCTTTATGTAGGTTTCATACTTTTACTTAGGCAGATCACTAGTTTTGGACAGTCAGATTGTCTTCAGACTTTTCCTATTCCAAACAGTGCTTCTTAGAGTGTACTTGTCACAATGCATTTTTAAGCTCAAAGAACTTTCTGTGTAAATCCTGAAAATTACTGATGAGTAGAATTTCATGCGCATTTATCTCAAAGGTCACATTACAGTAAACCTTCTGAGGTTTCTCAAACTTCTTAAGGGACTTCATCTTGGGGTTGATTGTCATTGGTCAGAAATCAGTATCTTTGACTAGACAGCATTCTGAGTTTTACCTACTCATTTCAAGGGAAAGGTTGCTTAGAATAGTGAACTTGTTTCTTAGATGTGTCTTTGACTGTATTCTCCTTTCTTCTTCTTCTAGCACTTGGAACAGCTCCGTGCAAATAGAAATAATTTAAATCCAGCACAGAAACTGATGCTGGAACAGCTGGAAAGTCAGTTTGTCTTAATGCAGCAACATCAAGTGTGTATAGCATTTTTTCCCCCGAAAATTTGTTACCATTTCGAATATTTCTATTGACTGGAACATCATTTTAGAGTATGTTCATGCCCACTTCTACTTTCCACCAGTATTTGGTGGAATTGAATAATCTGTGCTTCTTAAAATACTAGTAATGGACAGATTTTTAGGAGAAAACAGCAATAAATTTGATTTTGAACATGACTTAGTATTTTATTATTTACATGTTATTCTGCATGAGTTTTATTTATATTATTTAATACTTAACAAGCTACATCCTAAACTTAGGTGGGGTTCTTTCAAGCTTGTTTAACTCAGAGAATCTGGCATATAAATGTGATAGAATGGAATTTTGAGGTCCCCTATTTTGTGATGGGGGAAAGACCTGTAAATTTGATTTCCTTTCCATAATTTTCAGCTGGATTCTTTTGTCATTACTGAAGGGATATTTCTTAAAAAATTAAGTAGGTTCTTGCTTTTCCGAGGAAGCTAATCTAAATGTGAAGAAACAATTTCTTGTTTTGAAAAGGTATTTTTTAACCTAGAGAAATTAAATGTTAGGGTAAAATCAGAGATTACCTGGTTATATATTCTTCATATTCTTATTCTGTCCCCTGTGGACCACACAGGCAGCATTTATTTTTCATTTGTTTTTTGACAGATGAGACAGACAGGAGTTGCACAGGTACGATCTACTGGAATTCCTAATGGGCCAACAGCTGACTCATCACTGCCTACAAACTCAGTCTCTGGCCAGCAGCCACAGCTTGCTCTGACCAGAGTGCCTAGCGTCTCTCAGCCTGGAGTCCGCCCTGCCTGCCCTGGGCAGCCTTTGGCCAATGGACCCTTTTCTGCAGGCCATGTTCCCTGTAGCACATCAAGAACGCTGGGAAGTACAGACACTATTTTGATAGGCAATAATCACATAACAGGAAGTGGAAGTAATGGAAACGTGCCTTACCTGCAGCGAAACGCACTCACTCTACCTCATAACCGCACAAACCTGACCAGCAGCGCAGAGGAGCCGTGGAAAAACCAACTATCTAACTCCACTCAGGTAATAGAAGGACTGACTGCCTTGTTGGCTTCTCACATAGTAGTTGTCTTCATTTGATTTTATGCATTTTGAGAGAAGAAGAAATAAAAGTTTGAGGAACTGTTTTTATAAGCATTTATAGTACTACAATGTTATTACTACATTGTGGCTCGGTATTATATGTATGTGAGTATATTTTCTTTTCCATATAAGATTTACACAGATAATGTTAGAAATTTCTAAAAAAAAAAAAGAAAATAGATCATACAACTCCCCAAAACCCACTGCTAATTTACAGTGGCATCTTAAGCAATTTATGGTGATGTTTCTTAGTTCATTTCTGCACATATTGCCTACTTAAGATCAGGTGCTTTGCTAAGTGGTGAGTATTCACTCTGGTGGGAGAAAAAGTTTTTACTTCTGAATATTTATCCTCATAATTTCCCTATATTTTGGATTGTTTCCATGGAGCGGGTGCTCCAAAGCAGAACTGAAGGGTCAAAGAGCATTTTAAAAAAATGTTGTGAATACGTATTGCCAAATTACTTATACTTTTACTAGCTCTAAGGAAATATTTGACTTATTGCTGGCTAGCTTTATATTATTGATAAAACTGAGATAAGTTCTTTTTCTAAGACTTTTAAAATGTTAATTCATGTAGGTAAACGGACAGTAAATAAGCATTACATATAGAATATTAGGTAATGTTATGATTAGTTCTCTGGAAAAATATACTAGAAACCAGAGCTGGAGAGTACTAGAGACTGGTGGTAGAGGAGTTGCAGTTATAAATAGGAATATCAGGGAAGATTTCACTGCAAGGGGATATTTGAATAAAGACCTGAGTTACAGAAGTGAGCCTTGAAGATACTTGTGATAAGAGTGTTCCACATCTAGGGAGCAGAAAGAAGCAATAGGCCCTAATGCAGGAGTGTGTTTTGCATATTCAGAGGCAATCAAGGTGGCAAGCATGGCTGAGCAGGGTGAGAAGAGAGGTAAATGTGGTCCAGCTGGAAACAGACTGGCTAAATCATGTTCAGCCTTGTAGGCAATTGTAAAGATTTTGGATTTTGTTCTGAGTTAAATGGGAAACTATAGGGAGGTTTGAATGGAGGAGTGAGGTGATCTGCCTGGATGCTCTGGTACTCTGTGGATAGACTAAAGGAGGCAAAAGGAGAAATGATATGACCCACTTGGAGATTACTTCTGTAATCCATTTGAGAGGTGGTGGCGGCTCGACCCAGAGTGGCAGCAATAGAAGTGGTCAACTTTGGGGTACATTTGGGTGGTAGAACCAACAGGATTAGCTGAGAAAGAGGGAGACTTAAGTTAGCCTGATCAACTAGGAAAGATGGATGAGACTGGATGAAATCACCAAGGGGTGAGAATAGATTGGGAAAAGAAGAGAACTCAAAACTGAGCCTTGGGGCATTCCAGTATAATAGGTCAGGAAATTGAAGAACTAGCAAAGAAAACTAGAAGAGGAGTGACCTGTGAGGGTAGTAGTAGATCTAGGAGAATGTGAGTGATGGATGCCCTTGAAGCCAAGTGAATGAAGTCTTTCCAGGAGGAGAGTATGATGAAAGTGTAAATCAAATAATGGTTATAGGTTGAGTAAGTAAGGTGAGGAAATTAACACAGGAGAAATAGGAGAGAATTGTTTGGGTAGGTGAGAGAATGGGATTTTGGAGGTTCAGTGTCTTTAAACATTAAAGGATTGTTAAAAGGATAACATGAGATTTTTGTTAGAATGCCTATAATGCTAAGGTATAATTGGTAGTTAATAAA